GAAAATAATATTATTACAAGTAAATAAACTAATTAAAGATGAACAAAGTTGACGATATCTTTATTATTCCATACCCACACCTACATATGACATGATAGTCTTTTTTCTTTGAATACCTTCATTTCATATACATATATATGTATGTGCATACGTGTATCTATATGCGTGTATATATGTATATATTTGTACTTCATTCATCACAATAATAACGGGAGTTTTATATTGATAACGTCAGTTGCAATTTTTGCGCATTTTTATTACAGACGTTTCATTACATTAACATAACAAAATCTATACTTTCAAGGTACATGATCGTTAAAATGTTGTCTACCTGTGAGATCTTTAAGAATTATGCGCAGTGTTCAAGCTCCTGCACAAAAAACGTTTATTAAGCTAAAGTAGTCTCATTATTTAATGTCATTGTCTTTATTCCTGTAAGCTTACCGATGTAAATCATCGCAAGCGCTTGGACACTTCGATAAGATTAAAGCGATCACAGACAGAGGCATTTCAAAAAGTGACTGCTGCGAATACCTAAGTAGACACAGAAGCTAATACTTTTACGAATTCCTAGGATATCCGTACTACGTAGGCATTCTCACGCATCACCACCGTTTTACGATAATAGAGGCTGCAAAACCGACAGATCGAGTTTGTAACGTAAACTCCGTGTCTTGCCTTGTGTAATGTTCTATCTAATATAATATCAATAATGTAAATACAAAGCAGTGACTAATGTAAAATCGTATAATTGCATGTTGTAACAATCTGCATATATATATATATATATATATATATATATATGTTATATATATAAATCGTATTTTTTATCGATAATGTAATTGTAAAATGTAAAAAGTATCATGTAAAGCAATCATTGAATTGGACGCCGAAATACTCTTACGAGATAATATAATAAAAAATTCGAAATATGATAAAGGAATTGTTAATAACATTTTCTGGAATATAAAAAAGTGAAGAGAATTCCTTATACACGCCCTTGTTAAGCTCTCTGTTATTTATAAGATCCGTCCTAGTTCGTCTATGATTATCCGTCAGTAGAAAGTATTTACTTCTAGTAGACCGTCGTGTTATAGTTCTGAAGGCACTGTTCAAAAGTTGACTATTTTTATTTTTTTTTTTTTTTTATTTTTTTGAAATAACAAGTCTTCAAAACATTTTCAAACGATCCGACATGGAAAATCGTTACAAACATCGATGCAATTTTCACATGCCTCGCTTGAACTATATCACAAAACTCAAAATAGAGTAGTTTCAACTTGACAGCCAGTGCCAATGCCAATGCCATATTTGTTGGGTCTGTGATCGGTTAGGAATATCATGAGCTAGCAAATCGATGGTCAGAATTCAGGCTTATGATACGCAATGGCCGGTGCGTTCCATTAATTATGTATCAATATCGTATCATTATATTACACAAACGCTTATTAATTTAGAGGCACATTGCTAAGGGTCTTGGTTCTTAAAAGTTGCTCCCTACATTAATGAACTTATGACAATCTAGCTATTATAATTATTCAGTATGACAGCGATTTGGCATATAATGTGGAAACTGTACAAAGATTCCGAGAATATAATAATAATATTCAAACTATTGCTCTGTACACATAAAAGTAGAACATGGCTAAAAAGGCCGATACTATGAAAAAATTTCAATTACTTTTTAAGATTTAATATTTTGCAGATAGTATTTTGAGCTCTTAAGAAGGAAAAAAGAGACTGAAATATAAAATTGTCATGTGCATAAAAATAATAACAGAACTTCTATTATATAATACAATTTTTCTACTCAATTTCCTTACCTAGACAGGAAAACTTTGGCTACTGCTACATACTATTTGTACCTCGGCAGAACCGCCGACTTTATGCTGCTAAGAACACTGATTGCGCATCTAGAATAAAAAGAATTGCACGCAGCACACACAGTATCTAAACCAGAAACAGATCAATTACATACTCAGGAAGACCTTAACAGTAGTATATATGCTCACGCTTTAATAAACCTGAATTCTACGCACAACGATCATAATATCAATTAAGCATTCACTATACTCAGAGGCTCTCCCACTTCGGAATGTTTAAATGGTTTTTCATTTATTCATTCATACATCGCTGAACCTTTTATTGTTGGTGTTCGTAACTTATTTAGAAGTTCTTCGAACTATACGTTGAAAATACTGCTCTGAGATGCGAATGCTCTACAGAATGTACACAGTAGACAGCAAAAGCGTCTAGACCACAGTGTTCACATTTCATATTTCAATGCGAAACATTTTTCAAACTAGGAGAATCAGGCTGATGCAATGGCAGGCGCACGATATATAAAAGTTAATTTCTTAACATACAAAAATGGATAAATTTCTTAAAAAACGCGTAAAAATATGTTTTCTTATAAAAACATAAAAAAATTTTTTAAATTAAAATTCTAAATAATGTATCATACTTTAATCCATGTTCGAAAATATAATGCTCCGTCAAAGTACCAGCCTGTGTCCATCAACATGAAGAAACAGTCATGTAATTTCGTAACGTCTAGACGCAGATACTACCTTTCTGCATCCAAACAAATGGAACACTAGGTTAGATCACAAAAAGTACGGTGTGATATTTAAAGGTGGAATTACTCTTTCAGAATCAGGCACTGCCTGGAATAGCACTGGGTTTCTCTGATCGACAGTTGTGAACTGTAAAATACTAGCTACATTTCCACAACGATAACAATAATTTGGAGCTGACCATACTGTTACAAGCTTATCATTAAACATGTATCTATAACCTGTAAATATAATAAAAAATATTTGAAATATGATCGAAAAATTTTTTACTGTATATTTTATGCAAAAATAAATAAATAAATAAATGTATAATTTATATAACAATAAATACCTTCGTGAACCAATTGATGAGCTCTACAAATAAGTTTAAGGTCGTTGATTTCCATAAATTCATATGTTACTTTACTTCCAAATAACCAGCCTGCTCCACGCGGACTAATAGTCCACGATTCAACATCTTCTGGATCTGACCAAACCAAATCACAAAAAGCACCTAAAATAGTAATTAAAATTACTTTATACTACAATAACTACAACATAAGTTGACAAGGTAATACAAGGATAATTATATCAAGTGATAATAAAAGTACCTTTGTGTGGGATTTCTTGATTTCTTTCAATCGTTCTAATTTGATCTAATGTTTTAATAGCTGGAGACAATCCACCATGTACACAAAGTACTTGTTCATCAATTAACTAAATAAAAATATCCATATTTTTATTAAATATGTTAACACAGTATTAAATTCATTTATTATTTACAAATACTAACGGCAGCAACTGCAAGTAAGTCGAACACTTTACAGCAGTATTTCCATGCATTAGCATTGCCATATTTGTTTTGGCATTCATCTGCATAGAATATAATTACAAACTTAATCGTCATAATTATCGAATATTATCAGATACTCTTTCAAATGTGACACAACAATAAATACATTGCATTTTTATAATGCAATACATACTAACCATAAAAACCATAAACATGAGTAATCTGTCTGGATTCATGATTTCCTCGAAGTAATGTTATTCTATCAGACCATTTAGCTTTAAGTGTGAGTAGGCGGGTAAATGTTTCTACGCTATAATACCCTCTATCTACAAAATCTCCCATAAATATATAATTTGTTTCAGGCACAGCGCCTCCATTACGGAATAATTCTTCTAGATCGTAGAACTAGAACAAAATAAGCAATCGTAACAGCTAACTCATACAAAAACATCATACTTTTATCTTTGAAATAGTTATCGTTATCTCCAAAGGTATCGACATCACGTTGAGGTTAGAATAAAACTGTAAAACTCACCTGACCGTGGATATCTCCACATACTGTTACCGGAGTAGAGACTGGTTGAATATTAGATTCTTCTAATAGTATGTCACATACCATGTCACAAAGTTTCTAAACAAAATTAACTTTATTGTTAAGAGACACAGGGGATTCAAGTAACCTATGAGCGTACGTTTAAAATTGTGTTACATGTATTAACAAAAATACAATGTAATTAGTACTATAATAAACAATACTTTTCCTATATTGTTTACCTTAAGATCATTTTCGGGGAGATACTTGCATTCTTTTGCAATTTCCATCCATTTATCGATGTCTGACATTTTGGACTTGTATCGTAGGAAAATACTGATCGCGCCCTCACTTACATATGTATGCACTGAATTTGTGGTTGATTTATACTTTTAAGAACTATTTCAACGTATTAATTTCAATCAAAATTCCGACGTTTATTCATCTTACTCATAAGATTTTAAACAATCTATTTAACAAGGAATTACCTCTTCTCATCGCGTTAGACGCGAACTTAATTAACTTACTCTGAAGCAAGATTAAACAGGACCAACTTTCGTTCTTTTCAATCCTTTCATCTTATTGGATCTAAATTTTCATACTAGAAAAAAAAGAAAATATATTTGAAATTGGTAATTTTTTAATAAAAATATATCGAAATACCTTCTCACTCGTTGTGAATAATATCAATAAACGTGTCATGTCACAGTGTAGTTAACGATTATTTAAGGTAGACGTTACTTTTAGGAACGCATAACATGTCGTCCAATAATATCGTTCAAATCCTAGTAATTTTTGTTTTATTCTTGTACGCTCAAAAAAAATTTGAAAAAATATTTAATAATTTTACTACGCAAACTCAGAAACAAATTTAAATTCGTATCATTCCAATGTTTTCTAAAACCACATACTTTCTAATCATGAAATACTTGACAAAAAAGTTATGTTGAAAATAAAAAATGTATGATTTTTACATTTTTAACAAAGTATCTAAAATGAATCTCGTCTTCAATATTTTTATATACAATTATACAGGGGAACATTGAAATACCGATACAATGTTAATAACCAGAAGTAAATCATTGTAGCATGCATTATTTCCTTCGATGAATAATTATAATAATATAATGCGCATTATTGACAAATTTACACATTATACATAATTATTCCACAAAAAGATTAAATATTCTACTATCGATAACGACTACTTGACTATCGATTTTACAAATATAACAGATAGGATCTCAGTATTTTTATTGGTTGCTATCTATTTTCTTAACAGTTGTAAATATCACCCGCCAATAAAAGTATTTGCCGCGTAATATTCGAAAAGGAAGAGACGGATTCGAGAAGAAAGTGATGATTTGTCATGAGAGGATCCTGCGAACTGTAAAAGTATAATTTCAGCTTCCTTCGATAGGAAATCGTCGTGGGACGTGAAAAAAGGTCAGCTGCAAGAGGACGATATGGATTTTATCTTGCGACGAAAAGTGGGTCACAACGAAAGCGCTTGTGCGCACGCTTCGATTATCGATTGAAACGTTACGTTTCTTTAGTTTGTACGCTGGATCTCATTTATGTGAACGCAGCGGCTGTGGATGTTCGTGGTATGACTTCCTCGCAGTAGGCCAGCGGCTGACATCTCTGGTTGTGGTCCGTGCGCGATCGCGAGTTTTAGGAAAAATGCGGTGAAATTCGATGTGCAGCAACGTGTCTTCGCGAAATCGGCCATTTTGGTAGTGCGTGTTTCACGAAAACGGATAGGATCATCTCTGGCAGCTACCCTCGACGGTTGTGCGTGGAAGTGGTGGCAGCTCGGTGTCGCCCACAGGACACAGCCGTAAAACTGAAAACGATCGTGTTCTTGGGCCAGTGAGAAAACAACCTCGACAAAATGGCAGGGAACGTGGGTATGGAACAATTGATTCCGATCGTGAACAAGCTCCAGGATGCGTTTACACAACTTGGGGTGCACATGCAGCTTGATTTACCACAGATCGCGGTGGTAGGTGGTCAGAGCGCAGGAAAAAGTTCCGTTCTCGAAAATTTTGTCGGAAAGTAAGTATCTCACGTTCTGTCATTCTGTCGTTTCTTCGTTCGTAGAATGCTTTCTAGTGCATTTTGAGAATTAGAAGACTATTCAAACTGTATGATTAAAAAGGCGTGGCGAACTACGCCGCATTATAATTTTGACGCTGATCATCAGTTACATTAATTTGACTGTCCCTCTTTTCTATACCCCTTTATGTTAACTATTTTAATCCATCGATCGTGACATCAAAATTAACTATATCTTTATGATTTGAGGCCGCCTACACAGTGACCTGTCAAATGGTTATTTTTTTTCCATTACTGGTGATATTTAACCTTCTGCTAAATTACTTGAACTCTACGCACGTGTAACGAGGAAAATTATTAATTCAATTGTTCTCGATTTGAATCACTTGGTGTTATATTTTATTAACTTAGTCCTCTATAATTTTTGTTTTTTAGTTTCAATTTACTTGCAATTTCAACGTATTTCAGATATAAATTTTTTATATTGGTTTTATTAAACAATAGGTCAGCGATTGCATTTAATTTGTACAATTAAGAAAAATCATAAATGTTCTTAAACAGAAAAGTACAATAGCTATAAGATAATTTCTAACACATTTTTCAGTAATTTTTCAAATTTCAATATTTAAAAAGAGAAATATTACATTCAAATATAGTATTATATTACATGATAATCATTAGATAAGAATAATATTTTTTTGTTTTCAGAGACTTCTTACCTAGAGGATCTGGTATTGTAACCAGACGACCACTTATCTTACAACTGATTAATAGTACAACTGGTGAGTCATCATAGATAAAATGATTATAACTATAATATATATTATAAATATAAAACAATATTTAATGTTCATTTCATTGTAAATTGTTTTGAAGAATCTTTAGATTATAATACTGCATAAACTATATAATTATTTTATTATATATTTATGCATTCTAAATTGTTTATATATTATTTTCTTTTAAGAAATATTAAGTAAAAATTTAATGTAAAATTTAATACTTTGTATTTTTTACAAAATTTAATATTTATCTCCAATTTCGTTGTCCATAAAATTATCACATTTCCTGTAACAATGAACTTTTGATAAGCAGGAAATCACAAATATTATCAGTTATACTATAAAGTCAAATAATTACAAATGTTTTAACAAGATATTATTTCGAAAATTTTACATACTATGGAGAAAATTATATTTTTATTGTAGAATTTGCTGAGTTTTTACATTGTAAAGGTAAAAAGTTTGTGGATTTTGATGAAGTACGGAAGGAAATTGAAGCAGAAACAGACAGAGTTACAGGCAGCAATAAGGGCATTTCTAATATACCAATAAATTTAAGAGTATATTCGCCTAATGGTAAATATGGTATTTTTAATATTTATATTTATATTGCTCTATGTTAATAACTTTATTAAATTTATTGCTATTAGTTCTAAACTTGACATTGATCGATTTACCTGGCCTCACAAAAGTACCAATTGGAGATCAACCAGTAGATATAGAAGCTCAAATTAAAGGCATGATTTTTCAGTTTATCAAAAGAGAAAATTGTCTCATATTGGCAGTAACTCCAGCAAATACTGATTTGGCAAACAGTGATGCTCTTAAACTTGCTAAAGAAGTAGATCCTCAAGGTACGTATTTTTAAATATTTGACAAGTATTAACAAATTATTTATATCGTAAATTTTTTAAGGTGTTCGTACAATTGGTGTTATTACAAAATTGGATCTTATGGATGACGGTACTGATGCAAGAGATATTTTGGAAAATAAATTATTACCTCTAAGGCGTGGTTATATAGGTGTTGTTAACAGAAGTCAAAAAGACATAGAAGGTCGAAAAGATATAAAAAATGCTCTAGCGGCAGAAAGAAAATTTTTCTTGAGGTATGGATTAATAAAATAATTGTGTTGATCAATTTTTTTTATCAAAATATCTAAGATATTTTTTTCTGTACGTATTAGCCACCCATCTTATCGACACTTGGCAGATAGATTAGGAACACCATATTTGCAACGCGTTTTAAATCAGCAATTAACAAATCATATCAGGGATACTTTGCCAGCACTAAGAGATAGATTACAAAAACAATTACTTACATTGGAGAAGGATGTGGAACAGTACAAACATTTCAGACCTGATGATCCTGCCATAAAAACTAAAGCTATGTTGCAGTAAGTATTTCTTTTTTCTTGTGTATATTATTATATGTAAATTTATAATTTCTGTGATATTGGTAACTTTTGTCATAATAGGAAACGAAATAATTTTAACGAAAGGAATGGTACATTCTGTAACAAATTATGTATTATATTCTGTAATAGAGTCATAAATATTTTATAAACTAATTTACTTTCGCTTTTTTTTAAATACATTATGGGTGGAGGGTCCTGACATTTTAGAGTTTTTATTCTTATTTTTCAGATCAGTTCAAATGTTTCTGTAGGTATCATATTTTTTTTTTCATGTGTGCATCATTTGCATGAAAATTATATAACCAACTAAAGAGTGAAAAATAACAAAGATTTTCACTAACATCAAAGATTTTAATGTATTAATGAATCATGTGAATTCATTTGACTTTACTAAATATCATGACTCTCTGCCCATATAATTAATGTTGAAGTTTAGTGCTTGTTTATGCATTGATTGAAAGAAAAACATTTTTAAGGATGATACAACAACTTCAGTCAGATTTTGAAAGGACTATAGAAGGTTCAGGATCTGCTCAAATCAATACAATGGAGCTTAGTGGAGGTGCTAAAATAAACAGATTATTTCACGAACGTTTTCCATTTGAAATAGTTAAAATGGAATTTGATGAGAAAGAATTGAGAAGAGAAATTGCTTTTGCAATTAGGAATATTCATGGTAAATGGTTATTTCAGTAATAATAGTCTTATCATTGTGATTTTATTCTGCATGTGTGAAGATAAATAAGTACTATTATGATTCTAAAAATAAGTTATTAACAATAATATAATGTCATAGGTATCAGGGTAGGTTTGTTTACTCCTGATATGGCCTTTGAGGCAATAGTCAAGAAACAAATCAATAGACTCAAAGAACCTAGTCTGAAGTGTGTGGATTTAGTTGTACAGGAACTCAGTAATGTTGTACGCATTTGTACTGACAGGGTGGGTAAAATTATAAGACTTCTGAATTTCTTTTTCTCTAATAACATATTTTTAATGTAATTTTTATTTTATGTTATAGATGTCACGTTATCCTAGATTAAGAGAAGAAACGGAACGTATTATAACTACTTATGTTAGACAACGAGAGCAATTGTGTAAAGAACAATTGATACTGCTGGTTGATTGTGAACTTGCTTATATGAATACAAATCACGAAGATTTTATTGGTTTTGCCAAGTAAGTTACTTGCATTTTGTTACATATCTTTGTAGCTATTTAGCAAAGTTAAACGAAATAACATAATACGAGAATTTAATTTCTAACAACCGCACATCTAGCGCTATATGTTGCTCTTATTATATTCATGACTGCAGCTATAAATCTTATTGTATTTATATCTAAAAAGTTTAATACACGACATTTATATAATAAATTTTTAATACACGACATTTATATAATAAATTTTTATAATATTTAAAAGATATAATAACAATTTCTATTAGTTATAAATTACTAGAATAATAAAATAAAACATTTAATATCTGATTGCTGTATATGCTAAAAATTATTACTTTTGAAAAATTTCAATTTGCAGTAATGAATTCTATTTTGCATGACAAAAGTGTAAATTCAACACACAGTATAGTTCACATAATGACAATATGCTTTATTAATATAAACATATTTTTGAAAATTAGTTTCATTAGTTTCATTATGATTATAATTTAAGCTTTTTTATGAGTTGAAAAAAAAGTGATGAGGAAAATTCATTAATTAAATATACTGTTAGATATATTAGTTTGCTTGCAAATTTGTTTTTTTTGCAAATTAGAAATTATATATCTTGATTTGTATTTTATTATATATAAAAAACATATCAATATATATAATACATTTTATACCGTATTTTTCTGAACTAATATGATTTAGAATGTAAAAATTTATATTCGAAAACGTATTTAACATAAAATATTAACTAATATATATTTAATTACATTTATATGACTTTTATAATCAGATTTATACGGTATATATTCTATAATCAATGCATGCTTTGCCAAAATCAGTTTTTATTGCAAGCTTTAAACTAGCAAATACTGTTAGTTTATTTTGTTCTTTAAAGCTAAGGCACACATTTTTAGTATCATTAATAAATAGTAGAATTTAATGCTATTTTCTTTACTTCTCGTGTACATCTGTGACACATTGTGTCACATATATTGTCATATCAAATTGTATCTCACTTACATTTTTTCTCTTTGTACTTCTCTGCATACTTATAATAATTTAATTCTCTCTAGGAGACATTTTATTCATTTTTATATTTTACTTATTTAACACTTCAACATTTTAAAAGTTAGTTCTCAAACATATCGCGAAATAGATTCAAAAGAGAAAAAAGTATCAGATATTAATAAAATATTGATATGATTATGATTTTACTTCAATTTTTGTTCCATATTCGATAATAATATTTTGATTTTTAATTTCTTAAATCATGTTATGTGAATTATAGAAAAAATTTATATAGTAGTTTCCTGTTATATAGTTTACAATAATTGATATAGGGAATAAGAATATTGTACTTTTTATAAAATCTTTTATGTCATTAAAAGGCAAGGCATACTTAATATGAGAAATTATCTATGATCAACAATTTGTTGACAATATTTTTCACTTTTTTTTATACTTATTAACGAATGTATGTCTTCCCTTGAACTACGTGGCATATACACATTTCCTGACATTTGTTTTCATTCATTGATACTGTATACTTCACAATTAAAAAAATTATTTAATTATATCGGCAGCGCGGCAGCCAGTAGCCATAATGCAAGGTAAGAATTATAAAGTACATTGGAACAAAAATTTACACTACATTTTTCTTCTTTTTCTATTATCACGCTCTTAATTTGTTATGCTTATTTTTCATTTGATTTTCTCTAGTTTTAAGTTTTATTATAATAAAGAACAAAAATCTTAATAAGCAATATTGAATTTATTTCCCATGTAGTAAAAGATTGAAAACTATTTTTCTAGTATATTTTAAAGCCTTTTTCTTTTGAATGAAATTGAAATTTATAAGTTTTATTCAATATTTTTTTATTAGTTTATGACATTTTTATGAAAAGGTTCATACTGTTTATATATACATGTATATGTATACACTATATAGATTGTAAGAATGGCACTTAAAATATAATTTTAAATTATTTACATATTAAAAATGAGAGTGGTTTATGAAAATAAAGAAATTAACTTAACCATCATGAAACATATCTCATAAATAAATTATTATTAAGTTTTCATCGATTATATTTTTTTATTTAGTTTTATATATTGTAGAATATAGTCATAATTTATTACAATTTTAAGATTTTGATTTTAACATTTTGTATATAATTGCACATTTCAAATGTATAATTAAATAGACCATTCATTGCCACAGTCATTCATGAATACTCCAAATCGTATATTTCATACAGCAGCATCAGATTTTAGTTCCACCACTTTTCACATGATTTCACAATATATGTAATATTTGCTTCTCTGCAATTTTTCATGTGTTATGATCTGCAAAAATATTACAGTGTTGATTAAGTAGAAATAATATTGTGTGTACTTACATGTTATAAATAATGTTTGATTGCATATTCAAAAATATTTAACTTTAAAGCTGTATGAAAAAGTATGTGCATGGAGTTGTTGTGACTGTATGTTATAATTATATGCAAATTAAAGCAATGTGAAAGCAATGTAAAATTAGTTTTTTTTTTAACACATGAAAATTTTATTGTTAGTAGATATAAATTGAGGAGTATATTTTTTATTTATAATTTCCAATCAAATATAATTATAAATTAAAAATATACTAACTATGTAATTATCCTCTCTATATTGTCATTTTGTGATCACATCTCATTTTTTAATATTTTTATATTATAAATACATGTGTTTTGGAAAATTGAATGAAAATTAATATTATTTATAATTAAGATTAAATTTGAACTTACATGAATGTTTGTGTAATTTAATACAAAAGTTATTGCTGAAATTTTTATTCTGTTAAATTTTCTACACAATGAATTAACAGATTTTTATGGCAAGTTGTTGCAATAAATTTTATACATGGGTATTCTAAAGTTTTTTTTAAATTGACATTTCATTATAAATTATACCTTATGTTACAGTGCTCAACAATCTTCAGAAAATGCTGTAAAATCTGGTCGTCATACACTAGGCAATCAAGTAATACGCAAAGGATACATGTGTATCCACAATCTTGGCATAATGAAGGGTGGTTCAAGAGATTATTGGTTTGTCTTAACATCAGAGAGTATTTCTTGGTTCAAAGATGAAGAAGTCAGTATTTTTTAATTATAATATAAATATAATTATAATACATTAATCATATAAATTTTACATATTATGATTAATGTTTGTTCAGGAACGTGAGAAGAAGTACATGTTGCCTTTAGATGGATTGAAATTGCGTGATTTGGAACAAGGATTCATGTCCCGACGTCATTTGTTTGCTTTGTTTAATCCAGAAGGCCGAAATGTTTATAAGGATTATAAACAGCTTGAATTGAGCTGTGAGACTCAAGATGATGTTGATTCATGGAAAGCTTCTTTCCTCAGGGCTGGTGTATATCCCGAAAAATCAACGGAGCAAGCAAATGGTGAAGGAGAGGTATATTTCTCATTATATAATTGTATTGTTTCATACTTGTATTCAATTAAATATATCATATGTTGAGAAATATTGCAACACATTCAGGGACGCTCGAGTGTTATTCGTCTCATGACTACTTGCATTTATTTTTATATTACAAGATGACAAATTGCATCACAATTTATTCATATAAATCAAAGCATTATTAAAACGCAGTTGACAAAAGATGACGTATGCCACTCGTGTGTACTATTTATAAACCAACTTCGACAAAAATATATTGGTATATTGTACAACTTTCATTTATAAATTAGTTACTTAATTATTTGTTTTGATCGAAGGAAAGGATTATTTATTAATTATATTGAAATATATTTTGTTATGTTTATTAGAAAAGATTATTTTGGTTTATTTTAGGATATACAGCGGGTGAGTTAGTACGAGAAATGTAATTAAAATATTTTGTTGATGTTATATTTTTAACTGTGTGATGGTGTGATGCATTAGTTTGCTTCTCATGAAATAGATTATTATAAAATTCTTTGGATGTTTGTTAATTACATTATGAAAACATTCATAGTGTGATACTATAAAATATTTCAATTAGATTTTATGATCAAAGTTCCATTTTAATAGAGAACAGTATTCATAAATTTTCATTTTATGTGAAATTAGAGAATAATTGTATTGCAAAAAATTAATTCTTTGCATTTTCGAAAAATATATCTAATTTAATAGCATTCCTTTTTGTACAAGTATAAATTGCGTAATTTGGATATTTTTTACTTAAAAAAATAATTAAGTTTTAGTATTGCATTTACAATTGTTATTAAATTTTTTTGCTTCTAATTAACTAAAGGAAGGATATGAGGTTCGTACTGTAGAAATTTTATAGCTATACAGAACACACACAACACACACAAATATAAAACATCTCCACTCAGCTCTGCTTTTTTAATACGATTACAATTAAAATATATTTGCGAGAACATTTTATTCCTTCCTGCTGGTAGCCATTTAAACATGAAATCAATAACACTTATTTTAACACTAATTATTACAATTATATATATAGATATATATTTTTATTTTTATTTTTGTTAACTGTGCGTGTTACATTATCTTAAACATTATTTTGAACTTCAACATTTTAACAAAGAATGCTTGAAATTTACTATTTGCATATTTATAGGGTGGATCAGAAGCTCAGTCATCGATGGATCCTCAGCTTGAACGTCAAGTGGAAACTATTAGAAATCTAGTGGATTCATACATGAAAATTGTTACAAAAACAACTCGTGATTTGGTTCCAAAGACAATTATGCATTTGATTATTAACAATGCAAAGGACTTCATTAATGGAGAGTTATTGGCACATCTATATGCAAGCGGTGATCAGGTAATATGTGAATTTAGTACATTTAGTACATTGTAATTTTATACACGCAAATAAATTTTCAATATTATTGTTATTACATATACATTACTTTTAAATGTTGAAAATAATTTTTCTTATTTTACATATATTTATCATTGACAATCAAATTTATCGCACAAGTAAAATTTTAAAATGAATACTTGAACGCATATTATAGGCTTCAATGATGGAAGAATCACCGGAAGAAGCACAAAAACGAGAAGAAATGTTACGTATGTATCATGCATGCAAGGAGGCACTTCGTATTATTGGAGATGTTTCGATGGCGACAGTGTCCACTCCAGTACCACCACCTGTGAAAAACGATTGGTTAGCATCTGGCGAAAATCCAAGGTAATAATTATGTTATTATTTTCATCGTCGCTTATGCATTTGATTAATTTGATATCTTTCAATCTTATACTGCCTGCTTTTGCCTCATACACTTGAACACCATTGAAACAGTCTTGGGTAAGAGTTACTACATTTTTTATACTAACTAAAATTTATTAGTCAAACGTCAGTCTGAATTATAAATAGAACAACTTGACTTTTATAATTTGCTTATAGACGTATTTCTGTGCATTGTGGTTTTGATTGAAATATGAAAATATATTACATATTTTTTTATATTTTTATACTACTTTCCTATGTTATACAACAGTAATACTAAATATAATGATCATTGTTATTTATTTTGAAATAAATGTGTTATAGGTTATCACCACCATCTCCTGGTGGACCAAGACGCGGAGTGACACAGCCACCACCTCTTTCTAGCTCTCGAGCTCCGCCTCCGGTTCCCACGGGTGGTCGACCAGCACCGGCTATTCCTAACCGGCCTGGACCTGGTGGACCTCCGCCAGCCCGTTCTACACCTGGCCTACCCCCTCCTCTTATACCATCGTAAGTACTAAAGATTAACGTTATTTTCATCTGATTTAATGGAATTGTACCTTGTGAAGTAGTACAGAGAACATTTAAAAAAAAAAAAAAAAAAAAATAATTTCAAACACTGTACTATGGAGTATCTTCCGATTGTCAAGTTTCTCACAAATTTTGCACAACGTTCTGTTAGTTTGTGTCAAGGTCGTCTTGTGTCTATAAAATGGAGGTTCTTTTTTTTTTTTTATTCTCAATCTTCGCTGAATATTTTAAAAAAGAAATTTGCAGTTGCTTGTCCTCCATAGCTTTGTGTGATTGGGGCTTTGGTGCTAACTTCACTTTCTATTGCAGGCGCCGACAATAAGTCTTCGCACTAACTCGCCTATTCGCTACTAATTAATATACATATATACATATATCAATTGCATCTAGCCAGTGTATATTTTACACGAGATACAATTTCCTAATGCTATATGTTTTGTCTGCAAGTATTACAAATTATTGTTTAATTAGGGGTGTGTAAATTGTAGGAAAATAACCAATTGCAGATTAAAGGAAGCTTCCAGCAACTTTGATGAGCAATCTATCTCATATTACACGTTATACTCTGTATCAGTAATATATCAAATTATTTCGTGGTCCAATTACTTCGTAAGAATGACCAAGAGATTATTGTCCGTATTTTTTTTTATCGTCTTCATTTTATTTTAGGCAATATTATGAAGCATAGTGCTCGTCTAAACCCATCCTAAACATTTGTCGATATAATCTCGATAAATTTACAATTCGACAAATTCCAAATTACAGAATTGCACACCTCTAATTAACAGACTAAATATCTACGATATATCCAATCGGTATTAGTGGCAAAAAAAAAAGAAGAAAAAAAAAAAAGAATAATATGTAGAGATAAATCACAGCTCATTCGCGACGAACAAAAAAAAAAAAGAGGTAGAACGACGTTTTCTTTCATTGTAAATTAGTTGAATGAAATTGTACATGATGCCTGTATATACAACTAAAGACGTTGTAAAATAAATGATCTTGAGTTCTTATCACAGATGTTGGATAAGTATTCATTCGCTTTACTAACAGCATGACATTTTAATTGCCTCGTAAATGAAGTACATCCTTCCAATAAACTCGGTAGAACAACGTTTCGATGAGTGTGAAGACTTGTATGAGAGAATGTGATACACAAGTAAAAATACGCAATAAGTTTCGTAAGGACGTGTTGCATTTGAAAGCTTCTGAAATTCCCTTGATATCGCTGCTTTCCTGCCATTGTTGACTGGATTAATTAAAAAAAAAAAAAAATGACAGAAGAAGAAGCGAGAAGAATTGATTTGAGCCTTGTCAATTAGCAATTGGGGATGGACGTGTCGGTGCCTGCATTGAAAATATTCATTTTGTTGAATGAATGCCAAGCGGTTGATCGTTGACGAGACTACTCGTCACTGTCTCTCGCTTTTTAGAATCACGCGAGAGAGATTACACAGTATCTTCTCGGGACATTCGAGAATGCACGGTAAAAAATCGAATTAAATTGTAGTGCATCATGTCAGATATTAACCCTTTGCACTCGAGACGCAAACCCTTTTTCG